AACACACACTCTGCATCCGCTACACACTAACACACTCTCTGCATTCACTACACATTAACACACTCTCTGCATTCACTACACTAACACACACTCTGCATCCTCTACACACTAACACACACTCTGCATCCGCTACACACTAACACACTCTCTGCATTTACTACACTAACACATACTCTGCATCCTCTACATACTAACACACTCTCTGCATTCACTACACTAACTCACACACTCTGCATCCGCTACACACTAACACACTCTCTGCATTCACTACACTAACACACACTCTGCATCCGCTACACACTAACACACTCTCTGCATTCACTACACATTAACACACTCTCTGCATTCATTACACTAACACACACTCTGCATCTGCTACACACTAACACACTCTCTGCATTCACTACACATTAACACATTCTGCATTCACTACACTAACACACACTCTGCATTCACTACACATTAACACACACTCTGCATTCACTACAAATTTACGCACACTCTGCATTCACTGCACTAACACACACACTACATTCATTACACTGACACACTCTGCATTCACTACACACTAACACACACTCTGGATTCACTATACTGACACACACTCTGCATTCACTACACTAACATACACTCTGCATTAACTGTACACACAGCATCCACTACACAAACATCCTGTATTCACAGTACACACACACTACATCCACCACACATTGAAACACTCTGCATTCACTATACACAGACACTGCGTCTAATACATGCACTACATCCACTACAGACACTGCACCCACTAAACACATTTCATCTAGTACATACAAACACTACATCCACTACACAAACACACACTACATCACTGTACACACAGTATATCCACTACTCAAACACACTCTGCGTTCACTATACACACTGCATCCGCTACACAAACACACACTCTGCATTCACTGTACAAACAGTATCTAATACACACAAACACTACATCCATTACACATATTCTAATTCACTTCCACTATACACACCACATTCAGTCCTGCATCATTGTCAGCGGACCAGGTAGGGCGTGGGCGGGCCCGGGAGTGAGGGGGGGCCCAGACCTTGTGCTTTGTCAGGGGCCCCAAAATTTCTGATGGCGGCCCTGCATACAGACACGGATACAAACACACATAGAGACAGACACAGATACATACAAACACACATACACGCACACATACATACCAACACACACACATACAGACACACATACATACAAACACACATACACATACACACACACATACATACCAACACACACACATACAGACACACATACATACATACACACACATACAGACACACAGACAGACATACACACATACAGAGAAACATTCATACAGACACACATACACAAACACATACACATACATACAAACAAACACACACATATACAAAATGTTTAGTCACCCTCCTGTTTCCTACCTTTTAGGTGCAGGAGGGTGACTACCCTGGGTCCAGTGGCTTAGCCTGATGGGAGTCAGAATTCCAGAGACTACCACTTTTCCCACGGGCGGGTTTTTTTGTGCCTTTTTTGTGCCAAAAGAAGACCCATGGCGGTTGGTGTGGGGAACCCTGGGGATTTATTGGTGGGCTTCGAGGACAAAGGGTGCTGGGACCACAGGGAGGGGGAGGATCTTGGGGTGGGACTATGTGTGTGTGGTCAACCCCTTGCACGAGGTTATGCATAAAATCCATGTGTGGCAAATAAAATAGTGTTATACCTCCAGGACAGCGTGTCGCCCAGTTACTGGGTGGGAAATTGGTCTCTGTATATTGTAAATGGTTCCTGACCGTCTGAAGGAAGGGAATTAGCGGAGGTAACCAGCCAGGTTACCCTAGGTCCGCTACACCATGCTCCAGGACTATGCCAGCAAAAGCTACCTTTACAATATGGTAAGCAAGATTATTTAGTAAGTTCCTATTAAAATTAAAAGGTGAGAAATAATTTATTTATATATATATATAAAAACAATGATTTTATATTTCTATAATTAAACACATGTATATAAGCAACTGTGTTAAAAATTTATAGTCTTGGCTGTTTTGATACTATGGCATTATTTTGAGATTCTAGGAGAACTACTTTCACATTACAAATTTTAAAGAAACATTAAGGTACACAACTATATATTCCTGACCCTATAGTGCAAATCCCACCATTTAGGTGGCTTGCCCCCCCTTGTCCCCCTTAAAAGGAATTGAACTCACCTTATTTCCAGCGCCGCGCAGGTCCGCTGGCAGTGGCTCCGCCCCCTTGGTGACATAATCAGAATTACCGATTTTTAGCCAATACAATGCTTTACCATGGGGAAAGCATTGGATTGGATAGAATCGGCAAGGGGGCAGGGCCAAACACCATTTTAGCCAATCAGCACCTCCTAATAGAGGCAACTGAATCAATGCATCTCTATGAGGAAAATTCAGCTTCCCCATGCAAAGCGTGGAAACACTGAACGGCAGTGCTGCCTACTGTGCAGCCAATGAATGAGCATTTATCTACAGAAATATGCACAGAATTGACATTAGCTAAGTCGGAACTCTTGCCTAATGATTCCACAATGACACTGCCAATAGTGGAGTTAAACTTCAGGCAGTAAAGAAGTTAAATTTTGTAAGTGCATCGTTTCGTAGCGAAATGCTGCACATATTGACTCTGTGCAATAAGACCACTTCAATTCATTGTGGTTGTATCCCTTTTAGCATAGTGCATTGGAAGTGCATGAGGGGTCACTTACAAAAAATGTTCTAAACTTTTTGAGTGAATCTGTGATTGATTTTCTATTCGCAGAATTCTGTAGTCAAAAGGGAAGTTATTTCACTTGGCTGTTAAGACAGAGCACGTCTACAGAAGGTTACTAAAAGAGTTCAGAAAGTAAAAGAACATTGTTTTATATAGTTTAATGGAAAACAGACCAGGTTGTAATAAAAACAAATGTTCTTTCCTGTATGAGCAAATGTCATTGTCTATTATATTCACAGACTAATTACATTTTTTCCATTTGTTCTCCTCCATATTTGTGCTCCATGAGTTCAATAGTAATGTGTTTTTTTTTTTTAAAAGAACAGTTTTTCTAAAAAAAAAAAAAAATTATAGAATTTGTTTTTAAATATTTATATATATATATATATTTTAGAAAAATAATTTTCTTCTTATAAAAGTTGAATTGCAAGTTGGTGAGTGCACAAAATATGCTTTGTGTTAGACTAGGGTGTGGGATCTTTGTGAGGTAAACATAAGTAGCTTAGAGCGAAAATTAAAAGACAATAAGAGAGAGGGCGTGGCCTGACTGGCAAGGTGAGCAGTAGAATACAGCAAGAGCTCCTGGTAATCTACCACAATTTAACCCTATAAGCAGACTTTTTCCATGCCAGCCAGACACCTGAAGACCCTATTGCCAAACTGCAGCCTGGGGGCCTACTGAGCTGTGCTTTTGGCACCACATTATCCAGCCAGCAGCTCACTAAATCAAGATTGAGGCCTAGCTGCGGCCTATCAAGCGATACGAGAGAAGGGGAAGCGGCCGACCCCTCTACCTGCAACCTACTGAATAACCTGATGAGCAACCCCGATCCCCTCCCCCCGGTAAATAATATCCCGGCACCCTCAACTATATCTTGAAACAAGGGACTGACCTGAGCCCACGGTGACTCTGACAGGGCACTTTGCAGACACCCAATATGGCGACAGTGCAAGCCTCTTTGTAGCCTGAGGGGGTCTCCTGTCAGCATTTGACCCAATCTTCAAAGCCTTTTGGGAGAGGATGAGACTCCGGGCAGAGGCTGCAGCATCCCCCACCACACTGAACACAAGAAGCCAGAGAGTAGCCAACCCCACTTCTAACTACTGCCTGCCAGATGGGCCAGATGGGCCCGTAGGGGAACACCCTGGTCGGCTGCAATGCTGCTCTGCTCTCCTTGGTCCGAGGATGGCGGGAAAACGGGAGTTCAGATACAACAGATGCCCCAGCACCCCAAAGAAGAGGTGGAATAGGTGCCCACGAAGCCAGAAGCAGCAGGGCGGCTACTCACATGGGCACAACGCCATGACCTACCTGGAAAAGGCCTCACAGCAAACCTGCCTTTACACAAGCGACGCAAGGTACACCAGTGTATATCCAGAGTACATGATTACTGCCCCCCACTGGCCTAAATGGTCTACCTACCTCCTCCGCACGCCGACCCGCCGTGTTCCAGTAGGGCTCGAATACCTGACCGGCATAATAAAGGCCTGGAGAAAGACTTCAAAAGGCATCGGCTGAAGTGGATGCACTAAGGGACTCTACGGGACGTGCAGCCCTGATGAAAAAAAATAACCCAAGTAGGGAATGTAAATTAATCCTTATCTCTAGAACTTTCTATGTAAAGATGCAGTTTAAACTATGCATTAAAAAAGTCCTGTGCACACAGTCTTGCAGATATATTTATGGTTGGATCTGAGCAACCAAGAACCTTTAAAAGGCATCAGTGATATAATTTAATATGTAGATTGAAACACAATCAACCATAAAGCAAAGGGAGGAACAGTGTTATGCCACTCGCTGCACAGAATTAATTTTATTACATTGGAAAGAGTAATTACCAGGTCTTCTAGTAGAGAGCCAACTGCACCTTCAACATCTTCTTATTGAATTTCATTTTACATCTTTATTAAAGTTGTAAACAGATCAAAACATTACAAAAAAACAAAAAATGAAATAATTTGATTAGCAAAAAAGACTAAATACAAGATTTTTAAATGGACAGTCTAAGTTCCAAATCATATAGGGAAGAGAGTGCACACGAATAAGACTCCCTTGCCCCCAACCCCCACCCCCCTCCCAAGCCTAAGCGCTATCGTTCCACTTCCCTGGTGCACCATCAATTCAGGGGTAAATCCCCTAGATGTAGGCAATTTACAAAAAAATGGAAAGCATATCAGAGAAAGTGCTATTAGATGGATGTGTTTGTTCAAGCCAGGATTTAGAAAAAAAATTGCAAAATAAGTGACATTTTGGACGCAGCCTTAGTCATGTACGAGATAGGCTCCGAAACATCGCAATATCTGCACATTTTGTTGTACATCCTGGCTTAAAAAAACACAGCCATCTGATTGTACTTTCCCTGTGTCTTTCCTTTTTTTGTCAGTTTGTGCTCCAAAATCACTTCATTTTAAGGTACTGCCCATGAAGCTTTGTAAATGAAAACAGTGCCATTTAAATAGTAAATAGTGAGAAACAGAAGTATTTACATTTTTCAATTCTTAAACTTCTAGTGGCTGTCAGATACAAATTATGGAATCTATTTGAAGTCTGGCATCAGTCACTGTGTGTGCCTGATACTTGTCTATGAAAAGCATTACACTGAATGCTTGCCATAGCAAAGCATAGGACTTACTAATCACCACAATCCTTAGGTATGCTTCATGCATCCTCAATGCTTCTCTTTGAGAAGAATGGAATTGAACAAACTTCACAGGCAGATTGGGCTGCAATCAGGAGTGTGTCCTAAAAAAAAAAAAATTTAAATCCCTTTTTCAGTGGGACCCTATATCTAATCAAGTATAGAAGCCTATTTCATTTATAAAATATATTTTTATTTAGTATGTTTGATTAAAGTGTTCTTTTAAGTGTGTTGGTTATTGATCAGTCAGCCAGTCATAGTAACAAAGTAACATAGCTATCTCGTTTGAAAAAATATATTTCTGCATGCTGTTCATCTAAAAAAGGCAAAAAAAATAATTTTGAAGCAATGGTCAATTATGCCAAAAAAGGGGGAAAAAATCCTTCTTGACTCCATATTAGCAATCAAATGTTTTCTTGTATCAACAACCTGTTCACATATATATTAATTATATCCTTGAATATTCTGTTTTTCTAAAAAATAATCCGGGCCTTTTTTTAAAATATCTACTGTACATAATTTGAAGACAACCTCTTTGGGTAAAAAATTCTACATCTTTGCCTTTCTTCCAGTCACAATGGATGCCTTCTTGCTATTAAAAAGGTTAGCATACAACGGTTTGTACTGACCCTTTATATATTTGTATAGTGCTATCATATCCCCTCTGAGATAACAAATTTTTTCAAACTTTTCTTCATAGCTAATATTTTTCATCTCTCTCATTAATTTTGTAGCTCGCCTATACATTTTTTTTTATTTCTGCAATATATTACTTTAGAATTGGTGCCACAAATTGCACCAAATTTTAAGGTGGGGTTTTACCATTGATTTATAAAGAGGCAAAATTATATTCTGATCTTTTGAATCTTTTTTCTTTTATATACAAAACAATCAGTCTTCAAGCATTGTAGATCACGCATGGTACACTATGGCTCTACACCATAATGTATGCACAAAAACATCTAATTGTTTTAGGATGAAATACGATTATATTTAATACTAATTACTATAATTTAGGAGTAGCCATATCAAGATATATTTTTTTTACTTTGTTTTATTTAGAATTTTATTGCATACATAAACAATAAGTTGCAAAAGTAAATAGTAAAAATAGAGACATAATAGAGACATAAGTGCGAAAAGAATACATTCATATTGTGCTGAAGAACAAGATACATTAAAATAAGAAAAAAGTCTATCAACATCTTCTAACAATAGATAAAATGTTATTGAAGCATTTAAAACAATACCGATTCATCATTAATCATAACCATCCATGTATCTCAAATTCTACAGAAGAGTGGGGATTAATTTGGAATTATATCATCGAGCACTCTACCTCCCAGAAATCTAATCTTATAGCAGCTAAACCAATAAGGCATGCAAAAAGGCAATTCGAGTAGCTAAACTAGAAAATGAGAAAGGGATAGCCAAAAAACCAGCACCAAAACATTAAACATCTAACAAAAAATGAATGTATAGGTACACTGAAAACAGAGATAGGTGTGTTAGTTAATAAAGACCAGGAAAAGACAATTTTAAATAACTTTCTCCTCAGTATATATGAATGACGATCCTATGGCAAGAAATATGTAAACTATTGCTACAATAAAAGAAAGTCAATGTAAAAAATCTACAGGGCCTGATGGTATTCACCCATGCGTATTTAAGAAGCAAAGTGTGGAAGTAAGTGAATCTCTATTTTTAATATTTCAAGATTCTTTTCTTTTCAGAATTGTACTGGAGGATTGGAGGAAGGCAGATGTAGTTCCTATATTCAAAAAGGGTTCAATTTTTTTTTCTAAATTATAAACCTGTGAGCTTAACTTCTGTGGTGGGGAAAGTATTTGAAGAGTTATTAACCCCTTAAGGACCCTTTTATTCCAGAGGTTTGGTCCTTAAGGGGTTAAGGGATAATATTCAGGATTTTATTTGGGAAGATCATTGTTATTAGCAATAATCAGGTTTTATAAAAATATGGGTCATTTAAAACTAACCTAATTAGTATATATCAGGGTGTTGCGTTGGATGTGATCTACTTTGTGATCTATTTTGCCAAGGTGTTTCCTAAGGTTCCTCATAATAGGTTAGTATTCAAACTAAAAGAAATTGGTCTAGAGAAAAAATCTTTGTTTCTGGTTAGGACTTTGGCTTAAAGAGAGAGTACAAAGAGTTGCCATTAATGGGACATTTTCAAGATGGACAAAAGTGGTGTCCCTCAGGGTTCTGTTCTGGGATCATTTCTATTTAACATATTTATATATGATCTTGAAATAGGCACCGAAAGCAATGTTCAGTGTTTGCAGATGACACAAAACTTTGTAAAGTAACACAATATGATCAGGATATTGCTTTGTTGCAAAGAAATTTAGATAGATTGAGGGACTGGGCACTCAAATGTCAGATGAAATTTAATGTATAAAAATGCAAAGTTATGCATGTAGCGGACCCCGGGTAACCCAACAGGTTACCTCCACTAATCTCTTCCTTCAGCCGCTCAGGAGCCACTCAGAATAATACAAGACCCATTTCCCCCCAGTAACTGGACAAGACACAGCTCTGGGAGAACAACACAAACAATGCTTTATTGGTACAGACTTAATTTATATATAGACCCCCACAGGGGTCTTCATTCAATTCAGTACAAGTCCCAGGCTCGTGGAGGATGGCTTACAGATAACCATTTCCCGCTCTGGGAGATACCAACAGCACAACAATTACAAACAGTAGGATACATTAGACATATTGGGGAACTTACGGGCTCTGCGCCCCGGGAAGAAAAGGGGAAATACACAGGGAACATATATCTCTGGATAACCCTGGGTCCCAGCTAGGATGCCTGCAAATAGTGGGGCTATCGGATGTACAGAGCCTGAGAAATCATCGTATAAAGTCTGGGTTTGGGGCTCTGTACATCCCTGAAAACAGTTCCACGGAATCGCTTGGTTTAGGCCGGTGAATTCAAATTTCGTGCCTAAACCAAGCGGTGGCCAATCAGGAGACTGGCATGAAATGCATCAAATCACGCAAATCAGCGATCGGGGTGGAAAGACGTTCCGCTAGCCAATTCAGGAAAAAGGGCGCAAACCTAAATTGCGCCAATCGGCGCTCGGGGCGGGGAGGTGTTTCGCCGGCCAAACAGGAGTAAGGGTGCAAAACTAGTTTGAATGGTGGCCAGCAAGGACTTCCAGGCAGCCTGTGGGACTCTGCAGCCGTGAAGCCGCCTCATAATTCCAGGGATTCTGCTGTAGCTCGCGACCCTATCTCTGGTGGACATCACCACGTAGGTGGGTCTTTCTATGTAATGTAAGAGAGCGCTCTTTGGGAAGCTGCGAGCCTGGACTCGTAGCTCTGAGGTAGGGAGCCCCTGCAGCCGCTGTCTGCTTTGCTGACAGTCTGGCTGCAGGCAAGAGATTCCTGGATCTCCTTTGGCCAGTGATTATGGCTCATTTTAGAAGCAGGTAGGGAGATCCCCTGCAGGAGAAGGAATCTAGTCTCCTGGTCTCCCTAGTATGGAAATCCCACCAGCATAGCCAGTCCCATTAAAGTGTCCCCAGCAACCTCAGGAACCACACACCAGTACATTTCCCAAACCGTTCTCCGTTCGTGAGGCTCCAGTGCAAACACCAGGCAAGGGAAGCGTCTCCTTTCAGCATACAAATGCTCACCCCTGGGTGGCGTCCGTCTGTACGAAATGGCAGCCACCTAGGGGAGCACCAGGATGGTCCTCAGTTTGGGGACAAACGGGCTCTGTTCGTATGAACGCTCCCGAACAGGAGAACATGGCAAAGCACGAAACATACGGGGAAATAAGGGGAAACACATGAATAAGCAGTAGGTACCTGTGGGGATGGCACTCAGTGATGGCGTTCCATCACAC